TATATTGTAATTTTAATAATTTTTTATTTCTACTATTTATTAATTTTTTTCTTTTTTAATATTTTATAATATTATTGAAATCTTATAATTTTATCTATAATTTTATCTATAATTTTATCTTACTTTTTATTTTATAAGTATAATTTGGATTATTCATTTTATAATTAATTTATTTTTTTAAAAAAAATTTATGAGTTTACATATAAAAATGTATTAAAATCCCTCAATTTTTGAAGGTATTGTAGCAACTCCTTTTTTTTTATTTATAAAAAAAATTACAATGATGAAGATTGAACTTAACTCCTTACATATCTACCCCTGACAATGAATTTAGAATATAAGACAATCTGGTCGGAGCAATTATTCAATGTTCTTTTTTACTTTTTATTTTGTTTTATTCAAAACAGTACTAACAATTCATTCTTTATTGTATACATTCTATTATTGATTAAATAAAAAGAGAGTAACCAAAATTTTATAATTTATAATTAATTTTAATTGTTTTTAAAAATTTGTTCAAAATAGTTTATCAAATAATATTATATTACTAGTATTTTTCTTCCTTCAAAATGAAAAATTGTTAGCAATATATCCTCTTTGCAAGGGATGACCAAGTCATATTTGAGTAGGAAAAAACTATAGAAAATTGGCACGCTCCTTCTAAAGGAGTTATTTTTCTTATATAATAGACAAAAATGAATCAACATACAGCATGGTTGTACAAGATTACGCTATCAATTAATTATTTACACAAATCACTAAGTATAAGAAAAATACATCAATAATAACATCTTACAAAATAGTTTGTGATAGAGTGATAGACACTCACGATTTAATTTCGAGATTTCAAAATATTAAAAATAAAAAATAATTAAAAAAATTAGATATATAAGAAAAATGAGATAATTAAAAATCACCCTTATTTATGATTTTATAGAAATTCAAACCTAGAAAAAAAGAAGAAGAGAGAAAATCAGTCATTAATATATCACAATTTTCTCTTTATATTTAATTTTATTGATTAATTATTTACTTTCTCTAATTTATTTTTTAATATATGTATATATTTTTATTGTAAATCTAGGAATTATTTATGTGTTTATCTAAGATAGCAATAATAATTTGCTACTAGTAACTAATTTCGTTTAAGTGTAGAAAATAAGATAAGGCGTTACATATGTAATTTTTTATATTATATATGAGCAATACCAACAGTATATTTTAGTTATAATATATCTATTAAAGAAACTTTGTGAGTGAGCGGGTGGGGAGCGGATCAAGTGAGAAGTTTTTATTGTGAGAAGGTGAGAAGGTGGAAATATAACCCTTAGATTAATTAAGTGAGAGAAAATTTGAGATTTAATCAAATGAGAGAAAATTAATCTAAGGGTTATATTTCCACCTTCTCACAATAAAAACTTCTCACTTGATAGGCTCCCGGGTGAAAGTGGAAAGCGTACGGCGGAGAGAAAGAAAAAAGCAAAAGAATATGGCTTTTACAGGCAGTTCATTTTATCCCGTATTGCATCAATCGCACTAAGCAATATACATTTGCATGGTAATAATCACCACCCAGATTCCTTTGGTTGGCAATTACAATGTCCAAATTAACATGTCTCATGTATGTTAGGCTTAAATAACAAAATTATTCAAGAATCGTCTTATCCAAGGGAAATGGCATTGTCTCCAAGCTAAAGGATATTATATGAAGTACGTGTATAATTTGTAGAAAAGTTGAAGGGTTCGAGACACGAATAACTTACATAAAAGCATATGACGAGTACTTAAATATATAAAACTAAGGTTAAACATATAATAATAATAATAATCACAATAATCAAATCACATTTATATCAATTTTTATCCATTATTATATTATTTAATAACTTTATATTAAAAATAAATTTTGTCGTTCTAACATTTACTTTGGTATGACCTTTTAATTTTTAAAAATTCATATTTGTCTTTTAAATTTTCTCTATTAAACTAAAAGTGGTTGACTTAAGTAGTTCAATAATTATATTTCTTAGTTAAAGATAGAGGTTCAATCTTTGTTTTAAGTATGACATGAATTTTAAAATTTGAAGTATCACTTTATTTTTATACAAGTCAATCTGAGGAGGAGGAGTTATACCTCCTCATTAAACCAAAAATAAATTATTTCTATTGAACTAAGTCGGTTGGTTAGTTTGTCTAATCTTAGACTTAAAAAATAAAGTTAATTTGGTGCTCCTAAAATTATCTATAGACAAAATGAAATATTGTCTCAGTTGAATTAAATTGGTCTTTATATTATCTTTTTACCATAAAAAAAAGAGACGCTTTGTGCTTTTTTATTTTCTAAAATAAATCAAAATCATGAAATGGATAATTACTTAAATAGAATATGTGATTTGAGATTAAAAAAAAAAAAAGAGAGAGAGAGAGTTATTGAGTGAGAAAGAATGATTTAGATTTGTAAGTAAAATAAAAAAAAGGTAAAAAAGATTCATATAAGAATAAAGACCAAAAGGGATTATTAAAAAAATTCTCTTCATATAATAGTATAAATTATCATAATATTAATTTTGGATTAATGTGACTATATATATACATATATAAATTTGTGGCTGAATTAACTTTTTATACTATATTTTAAAGTATGGAGATGATTTACAATTACACATTATTTTAAGAAAAAAATCTAAAGTTAGTTCGGAGAATTATCCCAGTAGCTACCAAGTCGACCCATCTGTATGCAATTAATTATGTGTAACTAAATTAATTTTGTGAACTATTTCTCCATCCTTCAATAATTATAATTTAAAGTTATTAGAATTGTAGTTATTAGAGAACGGAAATAGTATTAAAGTTAACCAAGTTGAGATAGTACACTAAAGTTTTAAATTAAATCTTTATTGAATTTTTTATATATAAGAAAATTAATCAAGTGTGTGCCGTAAGTAACTCATAAGCTAGTGGATTATAAAAGAATCACGTAAATTGACTAAAATGCTTTCTTAAAACTTCAAAAACTAAACAAAACGGCCTAAAATTAAACTAGTCTCATCGTGATGATCATTGCATAGATTGTATCGCCGTTGAAAGCACATTGTTCTATATAAAAAAAACACTGGAGAAACATGAAATGGTGGATTAATTGAAAAGTCTTCAAGATATGGCAAAACAAAATTTTCCCCTGGGTCGTTCTGTTGCTTGTTTAACATTAATTCAGTTCATAGCTTTTACGAGTTTCAGCACATCACAAAGCCACGTAGACGAGACTTCAAGTACCACCACTAAGGCCTTTTTCATCTTTGGCGACTCCACCGTAGATTCTGGCAACAACAATTACATAAATACCATTCCTGAGAACAAAGCAGATTACAAACCATATGGACAAAACGGTTTTTTCCAACAACCCACGGGACGATTCTCTGATGGTCGTGTCATCGTAGATTTTATAGGTAATATATGTCACCATATATGTTTTTTATTTATTTATATAATTATAATATTGATATGATGAAGTATTTAAAGTTAGAAATATTGATTAGTCTTTGTTGAAAACTGTGTTATGATATATGTTTTGGTTACTTAACTGTGTTAATATTATACTTTGTCCTTGGTATGTGTGTTAAATCATGTTTTATTATTGATGCAGCTGAATATGCTAAGCTGCCATTAATTCCTCCGTTTTTGCAACCAAATGCTGATTATAGTAACGGTGTGAACTTTGCTTCTGGTGGGGCCGGTGTTCTTGCTGAAACCAATCAGGGACTGGTAAATTATTAAATACATTGAACAAGCATGTGATCGATATTTCATATTTGAAGCGATTGCTATCTTAGATTAGATATGTTAACATCATTCATTATTACATCAACTTATTCCATATTCCACCCTGTATAATGTGAGTTATGAGCCAGGCTTATTCAGAACTCTATAATAAGTTGCTATTGATGTAGGTGATTGATCTTCAGACACAATTGATCCACTTTGAAGAAGTGGAAAAATCATTATCAGAAAAGCTGGGAGAGAAGAAGGCAAAGGAATTGATCGCGGAAGCAATTTATTTCATTAGCATAGGAAGCAACGATTACATGGGTGGTTATCTGGGTAACCCAAAAATTCAAGAAAGCTACAATCCTGAACAATATGTTTGGATGGTCATTGGAAACTTGACCCGAACAATCCTAGTAAGCCTAACTTCTAAGAGAGAAAAAAAAGTTTTTTTTTAATAATTTAAAATTAGTTTGTATCCTAAAAGTGTTTTTAGAAGAAAAAAATCATCTAAATATATCCTAAATAAATACCAAATAACTTTTCTTAGAGTCTGTTTGGATAAATTTTTTGCATAAATACTTCTAATAATAGAAAAAAAAATAGAAAAATTTAAATAAACTTCTTTATAAGGTAAAACTACTTTATGCATAATTTAAAAACAAAATTTTACAGAAACTGATAAGATATAATTTCTACAAATTAATTTATACTTAAACTAGTTTTAGTTTATATACAATTAATTTATTTCATTTTTTTATTTTTTATTCTTAGAAAGTGCTTATAGAGAAACTTAGATCCTAGACCCTTATTAATTACGAATATAACAAGTTGATCCCATTGTGTATACATACAGACTCTATATGAGAAAGGGGCTAGAAACTTTGGGTTCTTAAATTTGTCTCCTTTGGGTTGCTTGCCATCTCTTAGAGCCCTAAACCCGGAAGCCAACAAAGGTGGTTGTTTCGAAGCAGCTTCAGCTCTTGCTCTAGCACATAATAATGCTTTGAATCTTGTTCTCAGAAATCTCAAAGATGACCATGAAGGATTCATGTACTCTAACTCAAATTTCTATGATTGGCTTCGTGATAGGATAGATAACCCCACAAATTATGGTATGTATTGCTATTTGCAACCAATTAAATTAATTTTCCTAACAGCCACTAATGTCAATCACAATTCGTAACCAATAAAATTTTGCATTTTATGAAAGGTTTCAAGGATGGAGTTAATGCTTGTTGTGGAAGTGGACCATATGGTGGTGTCTTCACTTGCGGGGGTACAAAGAAAGTTAAAGAGTTCAGTTTATGTGACAACGTTGGAGACTATGTATGGTGGGATTCTTTCCACCCAACAGAGAAGATCCATGAGCAATTCGCTAAGGCATTATGGAATGGACCACTTTGTTCGGTAGGACCCTACAATTTAAAGAACTTATTCTCCAACAACGACGAGATGATCGAACTCACTATTGCTGATGTTGTTGATTCCCCTAAAACTCAGCAAGAACAATTTCACTATTGAGCTCATTTTTAAAATAAAATAAAAAAAAACAATTTCACTACTGATCTCATTCCTCAAATGAAATTTGAATATTTGCATGATATATACAAATTCATAATATGAGCTAAGTGTGTGGCATTGTTAGGCTATAGATCCACACTTGCAAGTGGAGCACTAGTTGAATTAAGGAACTCTTTGATCAAATATACTTATTAAAATTTAAAGTTTGATATTTTAAGTGTGCCTTATTTATCCATGTATCATCTCTTGTTACTATAGTCTCTTACATTGAATGTAAGGACTAAATAATAGTTATATAGTTCAATGCTTTGTCTTTCCACTACAATCGTTGAATCTCAAAAATCTTAAGGACATCTTAATTTAGAATGATTATATTTTCATTGCACATTCCTTAGGTAAATGAAGTAGGTTTTAGGAAAAAATAAATGACATACTCAGTTGGTAGTAGACCTATAAGATTTCTTAATTGGTAGAAAATCTATAAGATTCCTTAATTTGTAAGAGAACCAGGTCAATATGATATTTTAGTTGATAGGAGATCTATATGGTTTCTTAGTCAAAATAGGACCCATGAGGATACACTCAGTCTGGAGCCCATAAGACAAAGAAACTAAAAGGTCGGAAAAGGACCTATGAGGGTACACAACCCCTTAGTCTTGAGTCCATGGGACGAAGAGACCAAAAGGTGAGAAAAAAAAGTTATGAATATATATATTTTTTTAATATTGATTAAAATCATTTAACTTTAATTGATTTTAAAGAAACAAATGTATGGATAAATAGTAATAGAATTGTTTATACTCTTAGTCATATGTATTTTTTGTTGAGTAATGTTATATCCTTTACTAATTCTTCAAATATTAAATAAAAAAGAAATTGAGTTTAATATTTAAAAAATATAAATATATTGAAGTCTTTCTTCTTTTAATAAGTAAAATGGCACATTTATAAAAGTGAATCGATTGAAACCAATAGAATTAAATTAGAAGGTCGTCATTAAAAAGGTGCACCAAAAAGGTATAAGGGTGTATCAGAAGACACCAATAACCATAAGTTTTATCAAAAACACCCTTCAGACATAACCAAAATGACACTATTATAAAGTACATCAAATTATAGGGGTACATATTCAAGTACAAGCTATTTTGGGTTGAATTGTATCAAACTCATTATTTAAATTGATCAAAATAGATTTAGTTCGGTTGAGTTTGTATAATTTTTCTAAAAATTTGAACCAAACAATATGATCAATGATGAGTTGGTTTAGGTTGTATGATTAATTATATTTTGTTATGCTTACACATTGAGATTGGGTTGAAATTTAGGTTAATTGTTGAATTATTTAAGAATTTTGTCCTGGTTGAGGTGTATGTATGTATAACTGTAAAGGTTGTCAAAGAAAAAGGTAGAAAGGGTTGTATTTGAATAAGTACAATTATACTAATAAAATAGCAAAAACAACATGATTATGTTGAATAAGCATTGTCATGCTCAAAAGTTAGAGTTACACTTTTTGAAAAGTAGCATGATGATTTCCAACTAATCATGTGAAAGTAAGCACAACCATGCTTGGTCAAGCCAATGCCCATATTAGAAAAAGCTAACCATCTATCAAGGGTTGTTATTCTTTAAACCTTCTAGGCTTTAAAGATATTTTTCATCTCATTTTCTAGCACTCAAGATTGAAAAGATCGAAACTTTGAAACAAGAAAGAATCTTCTTAACACTAATGGAGGAACAATCATACCTCTTTTAAGGTTTTATGAATTTTTGTATTCTATGGTTTTCCCCCTTTTTAATGAGGAACTAATTTCTTAGTCTAAGGTTATGGTAGTCATGTTAGATGAGCTAAACCTAATGCAATTTTGGGTTTGTTATTTTTTTTATCAATTAAAATTTATTTTTTTATTCATAATAACTATTGAGATATGACCAATTTTTTCTTGTAATTTTATTCATTTAAATCATAACGATCATACCTAATTTAGTTGGTAGACCTAAACAAACAATTGAATCTTGGAATTTTACATGACCAAACCTTAAATAAGTTTCCAATTGTGATTTTCGCTTGTGTCAAAAGCTTTCTTAAGTCAAACCTTAGCATGACCAAAAGAGGAGGATTGAACTAATAATTTCTTGACGAAGTACTTCTTTCCTACACGAACAAATCAACTAAAAGGGAAGATAAGGATTTTTTTTTCAATAAGAGCAAGAGTTCTTGTTTGAAATTCGAGAGAGATTTTAGGAGTTATTGAGAAAATGTCCTTATTGTATATATTATTTGGAGTGATAGATCTCGATAATCTATAATGGTTTGTCCTATTTTGATACGTCGAATAGTGATGTAGTGTATCAAGTTACTATTAAAAAAAAAGTTTTTCCAAGGGCTTATTTGTTTTTAATGATCAAGCCTTTAACAATTGTCATGACCATTATAATGATAAACATATCCTAAATAAACTAGCTAGAGTCCATAAAGTGGAAGTGTAACGCCCGATTTATATAATAATAATTATATATTTTCTTATATAATATTTTTGCAATTATATCATTAACAATATTTTTTTTTTCTTTTTTTTTTGAAGATAAAGATAAAGAAAAAGAATATTTTGTGAATTTAATACATGACATATCGTTCTAAAATATTTACAATAACGTAATATTTTACACATTATTTCTTTCTTCCTCTTCTATTACAATATTTACATTGATTGTGGGAATAAATTTACAATAACAAATAAAATTATAATAGATTCATCAAATAGCCTCCACATTCCAATTCCTTCCAAAGAAGACAACAATTATAACAACTGCAAAATGATCTGGAATCCCAAGTAGATCCATCTATTTTATAATATATTTAATTTTAAAAACAAAGAAAAGAGAGGAGTAAGAACAATATCCAATAAATACAATAATTAAAAAGAATACACAAAATTATTTATAATCAATATTAAACATATATATATATTTAAAAATTTATATATATATCATATATTAGATTTTCATGATACAATAAAATTTGAATTATACTTGTAGTGACTAGTCAGGATAAATGAGCATCATCATAACACCAACCAACAAAAGGATATTTCACCTTAACCAACAATAGGATATTTCACCTTCATTCCTTACTCATTTAAATCCCCAAGGTCAAACCTCCATCTACATATAATTCAAACTTTATCTTCTATGGCCATAGAACAATATTTATCTTCATAAATACGTGAAGAAATAACAACAAGACGAGTCCAAGATATCACAACTATATCATAGTTGATTATAAATATATTTACAATAAATATATTTACGTAAAAAGAATATATTAAGAGTACCAATGATATAAATAAAAATGACAAGCATTATATAATAATTAAACAATATAAAATATGAACACCTTAATAATTATTATGGATAAAAATAATCATAGGTTAAGCAAAGAAATCAGGTTAGGGACACCTCACTAAATAAATATACATAAAAAATAACATAAATAAATAAACATAGTAGTATATAAAATTTTAAAGAGATAAAGTTCTCCTCTCCCTTACCTAGATAAACAGGAGCTAAAACTTGAGCAGAACTTCTTCCTCTGAATTCCCTCTTTCTTTCCCTCTCTCTTTCTCTCTCTCTCTCTCTCTCTCTAAGATTTTCACTTCTCACTCGGTTATAATTTTTTTCACCCCCTGCCTCCTATTTGTAGGCATCCTGGCGTACCCGGAACGGCCCGTTCCGGTGCCTTCAAATATAGGCAAATTTTTCAACTGGAATGACCCGTTCTAAAATCGGAACGGTTCGTTCTGGGGTTCGTGTTAACATTGATTGACCATAAGTAGAACGGCCCGTTTCCAACTTAACTTTTTAGGCATTTTTCTTACTGTGGAACGGCCCGTTTCACTTTTGGAACGACCTGTTCCATTTTTGAAACGGCCCGTTCCGTGCCAACAAACACAAGCCTTTTTGAAAATTTGGAACGGCCCGTTCCACTTTTGGGAACGGCCCGTTCTAAGCCTTCAAAATACCAGAATAATATTATTTTATTATCTTTAATTATAAAATTTCCTTTAATAATCCTCATACATAATAATCAAGTATTAAAATCTCTAAAATATTCCACATAAAAGACCCATTTTTTATTAATTAATAACTATAGAAAAATAATTTTCATAAATATAATAATAATTAATCATTATATAAATTTTGGGATGTTACAAGAAGGACTAAGCTCATCCTTAAAGTACAAATTAGATGCGCTTAATAAATAAATGGGATCCATGATAAAAGGCTGAAGCTCAACTTATTCCACCACCACCACCTCCAATTTGCAATCAATATGGTCAATCCACACATGAAGGAAAAATTTTCAAATGATTAAGTTCTTCACTCAATTTTATGAGGGGGTTAACTAAGTGAGTAACTCCAACAAAAATAATTATGACCTATATTCTTCAACATTTAATTATAAATGGAGATACCACTCAAACTTCTCATAGGGAGGATCACAACAACAACCAATGGGGCTTAATCATCGATAGGACAATTATAAGCCACATCAGAGGAAAACTCGATCCCAAAAATCATAAGCAAAAAGAGATATGGCTTAGTTTGCATGAGATTATGATGCAATGTGTGACCAAAAGTGAGGGGAGCAGGATGAATTCTATGGAGAATCAAATAGTCAATGTGGTTACTTTGAAGACTTAAAGGGTTCAAGGTGCTTTACCAAACCAAACAAAGCCAAACCCTAGAGAAAAGGTTAAAGTTGTAACCCTCAGAAGTTGCAAGCAACTGGAAGAACATAAAATAGACATGAAAAAGGTGACTCCACAAAAGAAAAAAGGTTATTGTTGAAAGGAGCCAAGTTAAAGAGCAAGCTAAAGGGAATAAGGTATGTACACCCAGTCCTCCTCCTCAGGTAAGTATTCATTTTGCTCAAAAAGTAAATGATGAACATAAAGATAATCAATTTTAGAAATTTTTTAAGAAGCTACAAATAAATATTTTGTCTATTGAAGCCATTTCTCAAATGCCCAATTATGCCAAGTTTTTAAAAGAAATTATTTCTAACAAAAAGAAACTTGAGGAATTTGAAATGGTTGAGCTAAATGAAAAGTGTTTTTTTTTAATTAAGTTGTCTCATAAATTAAAAGATCTGAGAGTTTATAATTCCTTGTATCATGGACAATTTATATTTTAAAAGATCACTTTGTGACTTAGGAGCTAGCATTAATTAAATATCTTTATTTGTTTTTAAGAAGTTGGGGATGGGAGAATCCCAACCTACTAACATTTCTCTCATG